CAAAATATACTAAGCAAAAGTGGGCAGATCTGCAAGAAACAGAAAATCTGCCATATATTAGTTATCAGTATCCTTTCTGCAATAACTGATAGAATGAACAGATGGAAAGTCAATATAAGGGACAACTTGGACCACATTATCTACCAAAGTGACCTGACCCTTCAGTACCCTCCATTCCATAATAGCAAAACATTCTTTTGTTTATAAAATGCTTGCCAAGACAGACAATTTTCCTGCCCATAAAAAGGTCTCAAAATTTAAAAATTCAATGCATATGGAGTATACTCTCTGACTGCAATGGAACTGAGTTAGAATTAACAACAGAAGATCCCCAAACATCTAAAAGGTCCAGTTCTCAATAACCTCTGGGTCAAAGAACTTGGGGGTGGGGACTGCTAGAAAGTATTTTGAACTGAATGAAAATAAACAAGCAAAACATTTCAAATTGGTGGGAAGTGGCCAAGGCAGAACAAAAGAGAAAATACCTACATTAAAAAATAAATTAATTAATTAATTAAAAGGCTAGCGGGCACTCCTATGATGGACTTCTTTTCACCATCTCAGGGGATCAGCACCAATGGGCAGCAACCACATCTCCAGAGCTGGTGCAAGTTTCTGGGTCCTGTCAACACTAACTCTCCCCCAGCTGCCCCAAGCCTGGGGATGCAGCAGCCTCAGGAATTCCTCTTTAGTGTTCCCTTTTAGCTCTTGTAGTTCTTGGACATCCATTTAACCAATTCCTTACATTTAATTCACTTTGTGAAAATAGTTAAGAGTTTATTTCTGATAAGATCCCTGACTTACTTATTCAATAAGAGTTTCAGTCCATAACTGCTCACAAGATCTGGGCCCTGGTTATTTCTCTTTCCTCCTTCTTGTCACTTTCTCAGTCACCTGTTCCCCTCAGTCACATAGGCCTCTTTGCTAACTCTTGAACACAACAAGAGTGCTGGTGTGTTCATAGCTTTCATTTGCCATTCCCTGTGCATAGATACCTGCATCCTCATGGCTTGCTGCTTCATGTATGACCAATCACTCACTCAGTAGACACCTTTCCTGTGTCTGTGAAATAACTATTTCTCTCAACTGCTGCACCCTTCTTCCTCATGATTCCTTTGGTCTATGCATTGAATGCCACATATGGTCCACAGCTATTTGTTCTCTATTTCCCACATGAGAACAAGCTCCAGGAGAAGTTTGCTCATTGCTGGGTCCCCAGAGCAGTGTCTGGCACACAGAAATGCCAACTTCTGAAAGACATATTAACCAGTAGCTCCACCACTGTGTCAGGGCACTTGAACTATAACCAATCTTCAAATTTTAAAAGATGTGGATTTATTCTTCGCCTCTGTCGGCAGACCTTCCTCTGTGGAATCACACAGTAGTAGCAAGGTCTCCCAAACTTCCTTAGTGGCGATACTGTGAATTTGGTCTCTGGCCTCTTTTCTTAGTTATCTATTTTATTCTGCACTTTTGTTCTCTTAAATGTGCCAAATTCTGTTCTCAATTCAAATGCTTCTCTACTTTAAATGGGAAGGTGAAGTCACTTCATAAACTCTGACGCACCCCTGGGGTTCAGTTGAAATGTCTTTTCCCCAGAGAAGCTCTTTCCAGTCACTTAATCTTGGGATGGATGTGATTTGTTATCCTTCATCTTGGCATTTCTTTCAAAGCACTTATTATAATTTACAGCTATAAATTTATTTGTAACCTTATCATTTGTCTTCCTTACTAGATGATTAACTATCTAGAGGCTGAGTGTTTGTATCATTTTCCAAAACTGTATACATATTGCTTAGCATAGGGGAATGTTGAAATGGAATTAAATAATATATATTTCTGTGAAGGCCAGAAATCCATATTAAACTGATTCCAAAACCCCAAATAGTTTTCTTTTAAACATTTAGCAATTTAAGTTGGCCTAACTTCTTTTTTCAAAGTTGTCCTACCTTCTGATGATAGAAATATATGTCCAAATATATATACATAGACACATATATACAAAATTCACTTGCATATTTTGAGCTTTACTTATGAAACGCATTTTCAATTTAAATCAAATATCTCATCTTTCACAATAAACCTAATTTGTACTTCAGAATTACTAATTCATTCAAAGTAAGGAATATAATCCTGGATAGGACTCAGGTTAGGGGCAGAATAGTCAGAGCTGGCACTAGCCCATATAGATGCCTTGGTGCAAATTAGAAAAAGAGCCACATTGCCTGGGAAGACACAGTAACACCCTAATACACAATGACCTGTGAGTGGGAGGACCACTCTAGGTGGCAGTTCTGGAGGAGGCTGCTCAATGATGGTGCGAGCAGAAGACAGTGACCTGGCCACCCTTCTGCAGCTCCACTCCTTGCTAAAAAGGGTTGACTTGATTCATCTGGATGAGTTTGGTCAGAATGGTGTTCCTTCTATTTCTGGTGGTTTAGCTGAAGAGACAGAACTCCCTGATCGAAGATCATTTTTCATGTCCAAGTGGGTGGATGGTTATCCTTTCTTGCTGCAGTGTCCAAGTGGGCTCTGAAGGTTAACAGTCGGAAATAACCCAATGTTGATTCTTGATTCCTAAGAAATCATACTATTGATCTGGATATGGGTGAGATTTGTAGTGTTCTCTCTGGGGGGGAAAAAATCAGAAGTTAGTCTACTTGTATCACTGCTTAGTGACTATGTGGAAATATTATATCAGTGTGGTAAGAATTAGTTCAGCTACCTCCTAAGTGCCCTGATTATTGACTTTCATAATGAATAGTAGACAGGGTCAATTTTAGATCCATGTGTCAAGAAAGAACAAGCATGTCTTATTTCAGTAATCTTTTAGAAATGCTGTATATCTTGAAACTTAGGGCCATAGGTTATAACAGATAACATCTTTTTTAAAAACCAATATTAATATACTTTAAGTGTCTTTAGTCTTGAAGTATAAACCATAAGGAGGACCTGTTTCCAAAGTACTTAGATGAATTCATCACTTAGATCAGGAGCTGGAACCACTGAAATATGACTTTATAAGAATCTTCATTTTGGAAAAAGAACACAAATCTCATTTTTGGACAAAAAGCCTTAAAGAGTGGAGAGTATCTTAGATCAGGTTCTTGGTTCCTGATTTTTAGATTTCCTAATTAGATGAAATCATGCAAGTGATTTAACTTTGATGGGATTCAGCTCAAGATCTTCTAAATAAAAGAGTTTAAAGTCTTAAAGTCCTTATAGCTGATTTATTTTATATTTAAAGTTCTCCAAGCAAGCAGACAGTCAAATAAAACAGTCTATGGGATCCAAAGTAGCATTTACAGTCACATGTATACAGATATATACAACAGTTCCTGGCAGAAATGTTAAGAATGTCTTAAGGGCCTTACCTTTAGCTGAGGACTGGGCCAAACATCCCAGAAGGTTCTTTTCAGTTATTGTAATCGGTCAGCTCTTTTGGTAAATACTTAGCTCTAATCATAAACCCAGGTCCAGAAAGTAAAAGGGACAGAAGGCTAACCTAGCCACTGCCACCACTTGAGTAATCAGTTTAATCAGCTAACTATGTCAACCATCACCAACTTTTACATGAGCTTGGTGAAATCCGTGTCAGAGAAATGAAGCAAATCCAAATATGGTGAACGTTCCTCCATTGCCAAAATGGGAAATTGTCTTATCTCGTCATCAAAACCCATCCACCAGAAAATCAATTCCCGTTAAACACCTAAACGGGCAAAAAGCACATTCTGTGTGCAACCCGATAGAGACTCGTTCTGATGCCAACTTGGAGGGACCAATGAACATCAAGTCACTGCCCTTGACAACGGAGACTTTTTTTTTTTTAAATAAACACTTCCTTTACACAGACTTTGTCTAGTTGGGGGAAAGGTTAATTTATTTGTATACACAGGGATATGGAGGGCAGCGCTTCTGGACGCCCACACACCTGCAACTAATTCTTCCTCCAGAACTAACACATCTGTATTTACACGCCGGGAGGCAGAGGGGGAGTGGAGTGGAGTGTGTGTGTGTGTGTGTGTGTGTGTGTGTGTGTGTGATATTTAGAATGCACGCTGATTCCACAACCACCTCTTTATGCCCACCTAGAGCAGGGAAACCTGAATTCCGGGTCCTGAGTCTGCGAGGCAAGGAGGTTTGCTTCCTGGACATGTGTGGGGTCCTCCAAAGGGGAGCTGGGGGCCAACCTGCCCAGACCGCAGCAAACCCTGAGGGAGGTAGGCGCTGGCTCAACCTGCTCCCCGAAACCCCACCCCAGCCTAAGCCACGTTCACCCGCCTGTGCCACCTCAATAGATTGAGGGCTTTGGGAGAGGATGAGTGACCCTTTTCCCAAAGTCTCCAAACTAAACTCAACCTGACTCAGAAGTCCGCAGCATTTGGGACCCACACCCCAACACCCCGCGCGCGCTCCTAGGCGCTTCGAAATGAGCCCCCAAGGATCACTGGGGACCTGGGGATGCCGGTGCGGGCTGGGGGAGGGAAAGGAGCCAGAAAGCTCCCCGCCGCCCGCTCCGCAGCCTTAGTTCATCCTCCCCCGGGCTCGGGGGCGGGCAGGGGTCGGGAGCCCTGGAAGGGGCCCCACTCTTACTCACTTTCTCTGGGAGCCTCAGCCCGGGAGGTGCGGAGGGGCTGCGGACCGGAGCGAGGAACCGGCGGGCGGCCGCCGGGTAGCCTCTGGCTTGCGCCCTCGCCCCCGGCCGGTCGGGCTGGGTGCCTCGGCCCGGCCGCCCCCACTCGGGCGCCGCGGAGAGGCGGGCGCGCTAGGTCCCGCGCCCTCGAGGCTGGCTCCGCCGGCTCCGCCGCCCTCCCCCTCCATCCGCCGCGGCCCGCCGCCCCTCCCAGCCGCAGCCAGAGGCCGCCGGGGCCCGGGGACGCGCTCGCCCCGGGGCCGCCCCCTCCCCTCTCCCCCACCCGGGCGGGGGCGCGCGAGAAGTGGTGACGTCAAGGGGCGCGCGGTGGCAGCACCTCCCCGCGCGCTAGTTAAAAAGAAGAAGAAAAGAGGGAGCGAAACATGAGAGGCTGTGTGAGAAGCTGCAGCCGCCGGCAGAGGAGACCTCAGCATCATCTAGAGCCCAGCGCTGGCCCTGCCTCCGCCTGCCCCGCCGCCACCGCCGACGTTTCTGTTCCTGCTACTGTCTCACCTAAACAACTCCCGTTACACGGACAAGTGAACTTCTGTGGCCGTCTCCTCTTCTTCCTCCTCCTTTTCCAACTCCTTCTCCTCCCACGTCCCAGCTGCAGCGGAAAGCCCCTAACCCAACTGACACTGGCACAGCCGCAAACGGTGTCATCTGCACAACTTTATCTCGCTCCTCCGGTTTCCCTGAGGCATTGGACCAGTCGCCTCGACTTTTCTTTTTTGCAAAGTTGCATCGCTCTACGTATTTTCGCCCCGGCCACTTTCCTCAGCCTCTCCAGTGTCCCGCCGCCCGGTAGCCTCCTCCTGGAGCTGCGCCCTAGTGCCTCTGCTGGGCAGTGGCGTTACCCCCCACCCTCGCGCGCCCAGCCCCTGCCGCTCACGGCAGACGATGCTGAAGATGCTCTCCTTTAAGCTGCTACTGCTGGCCGTGGCGCTGGGCTTCTTTGAAGGAGATGCTAAGTTTGGGGAAAGGAGCGACGGGAGCGGAGCCAGGAGGAGAAGGTGCCTGAATGGGAACCCCCCGAAGCGCCTGAAAAGGAGAGACAGGCGGATGATGTCCCAGCTGGAGCTGCTGAATGGGGGAGAGATGCTGTGCGGTGGCTTCTACCCTCGGCTGTCCTGCTGCTTGCGGAGTGACAGCCCGGGGCTGGGGCGCCTGGAGAACAAGGTAGGGACTCGCCCGCCACACGGATGCGAACTTGGCATAAGGCTGGGTGGGGTTCCCTGTGGCTCTGGCGATGCTGGTCGCTGTAAGAAGTGCAAAACTTGTTCGGGGAGTTCTGCTGATAACTTGTTTAAAGCGCTAACGTGATTCCGTTGTGTGATCCTCTGGGGTGCGCAGATAGCTCTCCCGCCCCCAGAGCCAGCGGTCGGGATGCTGTGCAAACTTGTCTGTCTCAGAAAAGAGACGCTTCTGTGGTACCCTCATCCCATGCCGGGTAAATATTTTAAAAGAATCGCGATTAACAGTGTATTTTGGATCAAATCGGGTATTGGCTGCGGTGAAACTGTAAATTAAGGTGGCTGTGGTTTCCGGTTTATTTTTCTAGGGAAAAAGATTTGTGCAGTTTTCTCCACGTGCTCGGTTAGAGGGAGGATTGAATCGTAAAGGATGTTGAAGCATGGGTTGGTTTATGATCCTCAGCCCCGTCAGAGGGGGGGTGTCTTGCATTACAATAGTTAAGCCAGCGGAAAGGAACTCCTAATACCTCCGGTGGAGAACCCGAAAAACTGGCGAGTGATTTTTCTGGGTCGTATCACATAAAACTGAGACGATTCTCTGTCATTTTGTAACCTTATATATTCAGGCTTGCCGTGGTGGTGAGTCGTCTAGGAAGACCTCTAGGAACTTGTTTTAGGGGCGATGGTGTTTATGATTCCCTTATGTTGATAAAAGTAACCAAATAGGAACATAGTGTCGGTCGAGTGCAAAGCCATGCTTATTTTTGAGTTTGCAATCTCTTTCCTGCCTTGGGATGCAGTAATGTGTGCTGTGTACTGTACAGACTGCTGGATCACGTCATTAACAATCACTGCACGTGAAATAAACAATCAGGTGTCTTTGCTCCCCCTCCCGTTCCCCATTTTAGGTTTAATTAAGAATTCCTCTGTTACAACACTGCAGTTGTCAAGGTCTGAGAGACTCTTGGAAAACTTGTGTTCAGTCTTGCTGGCCCAGGCATTAAAAAAAAAAAAAAAATACCCAGGCTGAATCTAATTTTTATGCTCAGTTCACGGTAGATTTCACTCTATTCTCATGTAAACAGCTCCTACGAATCAACATATGTGTCTGGGTGGTATCTCTCACTTTGTTTTGTAACAAAAAGCCATATTGCATCATTTAATTTGCTCAAGTCATGCAAATAGGAAAAAATCAATAGGACAAAAAGGGGTCGACTTATCCTCCTCCCCACTAAACTGCTGCCCACACACAGAGTCCTGTTGCTTATGGCAAAAGAATAACAACAACACCATTGTATTTGTTAGTTGGTTCACTAATGGGTGAAACTAGAGAACATCATTCTCTTTCAGTCCCCGGCTCTGTCCAAATGTTCATGCCTTTTGAGGGAGCATTTGTCCAACTCCTTCTATTCCCAGATGAGTGAGAAGTGTCTTGCTGCAGGTTTTCAGCTGCAACTCACTCTTTATTCTTACCATATGCAGCAGTAGTCTGAGATTCAGGGAACAGATATTCCAGCATTTTATTCAAAACAATGTCATTAAGCTCCAGTGTTATAATTGAATTAAGTTGCAAAACAGCTACATTCAGATTATCTTAAAGGTTTTACCAGAAGCCCCAAGGAACCAGAAACTCAAAGAAAGGTTTAGAAACATTTGCCATTAAGTGTCCCTGTGTGCAATCTGTGCCATGAGTATACAGATGATGTAGAGACCCCTGCAATATTGACTTCTCCCAGGAACACAGTGGAATGAAAACTCTGTTCTAAACTAAATATAGTGGAGTGAAGGGGAGGGGAGGAGGGACTAGGGGAATTACAACCCTTAAGAGAAGCTGTATAAATTTTTTTTTAAAGAAATCGTCCTTTACGAAGCAATCTGCCACGTTAGCTATCCACATTCCTTTCTTCCTCTCATGCTCCCAATCTTCAACAAACCCCTACTCATTTGGAAAATGTGTCTGAATTATTAAATTGGGCACACTGGTCTTTGCTGGTTCCATTACAAGTGGTTTATAAACCAACAGTACTCAAATTGTTCAAACCAGAGATTTGATATAGCTATGCATATGCATTCTTGACCTATGTTAGTTCTCAAATTTTAATAGTTTTCAAAACATGTTATTTTATAATAAACTTCAGTGTTTCCTTTTTCCCCCATAAGCCTTCCTGGATTATAATATATGTTAGGGTCTTATTTCATAATGTGTATACAGGAGAGATGATGGCTATTTGAAAGGGCCCTTTTTTGTTTAGGAAAGAAAAAAAAAATATTTCCCCAGGAAAGATTTCTGCAGCTTTTCAAGAAACTACAGTAGCAGCTTTTTTCCTAAGGGAAAAAATTTCTTTGACAAATAGATAGTAAGAAACTAGATAGGAATATTAAACATGCTTAGCTCTGAAATTAAATCTAGTTTCTACACTAACAGTTTTTCTTTAATGAACTAGCATTGAGTTCATTTCCTTAGCCATGATACTGTTTTTGTATTTTAATTCCTGTACACTATAATAACGTCATGTATTGTAATGAGGTTGTAAACTGCCTTTCAAATAAGTACTGCCAAAATTTAGGAAGTTATATTGTCTCAGGAATATTTTTGCAGTTCCTAAATACAACATGCTAAAAAGATCTAATTTCCATTAGCCAAATTAAACCCGGACCAAATGAGTTGCCCCCATTTCTAAAACTTAACTTGTAGCCACAGAGGCACAGAAGCTCTCTCTACCTTGGGTGGTTTCACAGCCAAAGCTGTCAAGGAATGGGTGAAAAGTAATTGTTTTCAAGTGTGCCCTTTTACAATCATTTGTTTGCTCTGGCTCTTTCAGGGACAAAGGCTATTGTTGAACACATCCAACTAAACAAATAACTCATCCTGGGGTCCCTTTAACAGCTGCCTTAGTACAATGATCTATTTACATATTAGCCTAAAATTGAAACTGAACTCTTTAATGACATAATCCAGCAATATAGTCCAGAGAGGCAAGTGTTCTATGGAACAGCTGAACAACCTTGTAGGCATATGATTTTTAGACATAACTTTTTGTGTACCAAGTGATCTTAAGGAGACATTTTAATATACTGTCATTATTTTCTCCTTTTGTCCTTTTCTGGAACCCACGTGGGTGTCTTTTTTACCCTCTTTGTTTAGTTACTTGATAAATAAGGAGAAATACAGAAGGTCTCTGTCACCGTTTTACTGTTTGTTGATAAGCTATAGTTGTAGGCCACACTCGACCCTGTATTCCAGGAGTTATCTTAACTTTCTTATATGGATTTCACTTTCATGTGGCCCAAGATTAAAAGGATGACCTGCCAGATGTTACAAATTAGTCAGTCACAGCCACACTCATTACTGGGCATGCTGCAATAATGTATCAAAGTTTTAACATGATTTCTTCCAAAGTATATTCAGTTTAAACCACTATAAATTAGATGGTTTTGTATATGGCTTTAAAAAATTGAAACAGGAAATTAGCTTAAATTTCTTCTGAAGATGGATTGTATTGTCAGAAAGTTAAGGACCTGGATGAACATAGATATATAGGCAAAAATAAATAAAAAAGGAAAAGAAAAAAAAAATCACCCTACCATACCCACACCAGTACTCATCTGTCTAAACCAGAGTAGTGGCTTTGGCGGGGAGTCAGTTTAATTGACTTCAGTAAGACTATTGCAATGTTCATTGAAACCCAAGCCAGAATGATGGCTCTATCTATCTTCAAATAGGTATTTACACTGCAGACCTCACACAGAGCAAAATGTTACCATCCTGCTGGGCCGGAACAGCATGAAACTTTAAAAAGAATAATATTATACTCGATTTCAGATAATTTATTGAATCCTATTTCTGCAACTTTTGAAGAGGGATCTTGTGGCCAGGACACATTCCAAAAATTGGAAAGACAAAATTCTTTAGACACTTAAAATCAAGCTCTTCTTGGATAGCCTCTAGGAGAGTATTTGGGGATCATTTTGTTTCAACTATAAAAAAAAGGGAAGCATTCATATTCTTCATAAAACCAAGAGTAATTACAATCCAGTTTTTCATCCAGTAAAAAAGGTGGCTTCAGCATCTTGCAGTTGTTTTGTTCTTAGTGCACTGCTAGATGATAAACAAGCAAAACCAAGCTGAGCACAATTAATATAGAATAGATCTGGTGAGGTCCGCCAGAGTATGGACAATAAAAGACATTTAAAACATTCTTGGAATGCAAATTCTAAGTGTCTGGTGTGTGTTTCCCTTTAGAAAACTTTAACCATTTAAGCAATTGTCATTTAAATAAATTGATAAAATTAAAAATGTAAATATCATTGTGATTAAGAATAACTTTTCTGAATATTGTATATAGTTACAGCATATCATATATTTTTTTTACCTGAAATAGGGTAACTTCTATTGGACTTTTAAATACTGCATGCCTAAATGTCAGCATGCTTGTATTTCTTTTGTTACCTTGTTCCTCTACATCAGGCATTTCATGATCACCTATGATGTCATAATCCTAAAATATAGTGGCCATATGATTTATTCAAATTAGAAGCTCAATTTATGAATGAACTGTTTGCTTTAAACAATGATCTAGAGTTTGAAACATTAATTTGAGTGCATAGTTCTAAAGAAATAATAGAAAGGCAATTGAATGAATTGGGGAAACGTATGAAATTTATTCGCATTTTTTTAATATGGAAAAATGCTTGATTTGGACAGCTTTGCATTTCTTGTCTCAAATGCTGTGCTGATATTGTCTTCAGTGTTTATTAAAGGTGCTCCTGATACCAGCATGAAATACCAAGTCTCTTCTCTCTACAAATTACTAACCTCTATGGATCAATAAGTTTGAAATCAGTTTTATTGAAATAAAAGGTGTATCATCTTAAAAATAATAATAAAAGTTTGCCTTGTTTCATTAAAATTCATGTTATACAAAAGCACTTTCATTAAACTCTTGTGTTTATTCATGCATATAGCATACCTGAGGAGTTAGTTAGAAAGTTTTTCCTGGCTAAGATATAATGAATAATAAAAATTGGTCTTAAACCTGTTTGATTCAGCTTCGGGTATTTTTATAGAACATGAAAGGCAGTTTAGAAAACTTTCCCTAGGTAGTCTTTAGATTGAAAATTAGTAGAAATTTTTAAAGATGTCATCTGAGCACATTTACTATAATATCATATTGGGAATTTCAAGAATGAAATAGATTTTCACCTAAGACACAAATGAGCCATGTTTTTAAAAATTAGGCTTTGTGTGCAGTTGCATTAAGGTATTTGGGACTTTTTAAGGGAAATATCATTCAATGGCAGAACATGAAATATCACTTTGAGGCAGAAAAAGGCGCTAAAGCATTCAACAGTCTAAATGTAATTGTCTTCTAATTCTTCACACCTGAAAGACAGAGTCATAGACTTTGATGATCCCTTTTATGATCCCTGACTTCTGTTTCCCCCAACCCACTCCAGAGACAGCTCATATCCTTATAAAGGCATCCTGGATTATGACCCAGGAACTCTTTTCAGAAAACTTCACTGGCTGAATTAGGCTTATCTGCTTACATAATTGCAAGAAAAACGTGACCAAACCTAACTTCACATCATTTGTTTCTGATTTATGGCTTTCAGATATTTTCTGTGACCAACAACACAGAATGTGGGAAGCTACTGGAGGAAATCAAATGTGCACTTTGCTCTCCACATTCTCAGAGCCTGTTTCACTCACCTGAAAGAGAAGTCTTGGAAAGAGATCTAGTACTTCCCCTGCTCTGCAAAGACTATTGCAAAGAATTCTTTTATACTTGCCGAGGCCATATTCCAGGTAAAAAGACAAGAAAAAGTTAAATGAACCATTGCAAATTTTCCTTGTTAGATGCCTGTTCTAAAAAACCTGTTAACAAGTTGTAAAATGCATCTTGCCTTTCAAAATACCTATTTTATTTTTAAAAGAACCCTTCCAAAGTTCTAAGTTTTATTTCTACAAAAAGAAGTATTATAATTTCTACTGTTGTAATTTCTAAAGTCTACAGATAGTGTACTGGTCTTGCTGAAATGTTTTACATTTCTAATTAAACTCATAATACAGGTGGTAATCTCTATATGTGTTGGATTGGTAGTATAGATTTCTTTTTCTGTCTTATTATTCTTTTGATATTAGGGATGGAACCCAGGACATTGTGCATGCTAAGCACACGTTCTATTGCTAAGCTACACCCCCAGCTTCATACATATTTCTTTACCTTCCATTGTTAATATCAAAGTCAACCTGTTCTACAAAACTAATAGATGATTGGAGAATGCCTACTGACTTTTAAGATATTCCTTTAAATAAAATATGACTGGGAACCCTAACAAGTAACATCTTACAAAGCACTCCATAAAAGGCTAATTTGCTGCCCCAAAACTCCTAAAGTTGGTGGGGACAGTGGAGTCCTCTCTATTAGACAGATGATGGAAACCAAGCCCTCAGGAGAAGTCACATGCCTCATTCAAAGTCATTAGAATGGGAAAGTACATAGTTATCACAAGACTCTAATAAACAGAGATTCCTGGGCATTGAATATGTTAATCATCCAGAGTTTGTCAGCTTGGGTTGTTGTTGCTTTCATTGGAAGGATCAACAAAGAGGAAGAAAAGAATTTAATGAGACAGACTCTGTTTAGTTAGGCCAAATCACACACAAACAAAACTACTGAAGTTAGCTGTTTATAAAACTAAATGGTAGTTAAAGAAAAGATAAGCCTTAAGAACTATAGGATGCACTTGGAGAACTTTTTAAACTGCTATATACATTTTTACATTTTTTTCTGGCCTAAAGAAGTGCAGATTTTTGTATTTTTAATAGATTTCACTTAATAACCTAAAGTATTTTGACTGGTTACTTGTTTTAACTTTAGCATAACATGTACCTAAACCCATTCTATGAGAAAATATTATTGTCTTTATAAACTTAGAGTCATGTTTCTAAGACTTCCCTTAAACCAGCTGTTTCTTCCTCCTTATCATTCTCCGAAGCAAACAGGTCATGGGTGTCTAGATGGCCTGCAGAGAGCTGATAACAGATTAGAAACCATAAAGGTTAGCTGCAAACTGCCAAATCTTAAAGGTTGGCCTTCAACTAAGCTGAAAGTGTTATGAACACTTGGCATCTTTATTTACCTTTATCTATTATAGATAAATACAGCAATGGTGGAGTTGTGGACTTGTCGGTGGGGATCTTTATATATTTAAAGTTATTTTAGCATTTGAGAATTGCAAGCACCTCACTCCCCAGATCAACATATGTGGTGACGAATGACAAATTTATTTTTCTACAAAGTTTGTGTATATGTAAAACTGCTGAAGTGCATCAAGATGTCAAGTGCTTTTGGTGGCCACCCAGGCTGCCTTGAAAGATAACCAGATGAAAGCTCCACTTTCGAGGTGGATGGAGCTGTAAGGGTGCTTTCCAGAGACTCTAGAAGACTTCAGCAGCAAGCAGAGGGGACTTCCCCTTCCCATATCACATGCTGAACATCATTTAAAATATTTGTCCCCAAAGAGAGTTGTAATGACACACCCTTTGGGTTACTTATGCTAATTAATTTGTTAGTCAGACTGACCCTTGACACACAGGTTACCATTTCCTAAAGAGTCATGAATAAGGTAGAAATCCTCCCCTCAGCCCCTGCGGCCAGCACAGAAGTGTCTGTAGACTTCTAGAGCACTCATTTTTCAGAAATGGTTGTGAGAGCAAGTTTGTATTAGTTTCACCTTCTTATGTCTGTTGAATAATATGGGTTTGCATTTCTCTGAAGTCCATAATTGTGGAAAACAGCTACTTTGGGTTTCTTATTTATAAAAGACTAGTCAACATATCTCAGCTGTTCTCACCAGTGACTTCAAGTTTTGATTCTTACAAATCAAAAACTTGAAAAGGAAGGTGGATCTTGCTAAATGAAAGAAAATACTGAAAGGGACCAGGAAAGAGAAAGTAACTTCAGAAGCATCTTCATTTTCCCTGTGTTGCCGAGTATACAAGGAAACCCGTGTCCATGAGCTAACCCTTTGCCTTTCTTCTTCAAGAATGTGTGAGAATACACTCTACTGTTATGAATATCTAGAAAGAATGATTTAAAAAAAAAAAAAAGTATGGTCATCTTAGAGTATTCGTATAACCTGAAAGACAGATCATTTCTAGAAATTTAAATTCAGAAATAGTCATGGTTTTCTTGTTTTCCCCCAAATGGGAAAAGAAATTAAAAAGCAATAGAAATGCTCATACACTAGAGTTATAGTAATCATAATGTTCTCCAGTTGTTAATTTTCTCAGAGAGGTAAATTCTTTAAATTTCTAGAAATTTCAACATTGCATTCAAAAACCACAGGAGCCCTCTGTCCAACCCCTCGGGTCTTTTTACTTGCCTACACAAGCACATGGGATGCTTTGCTGTTCACCAAACGACTGCATCGTGCACTCTGAGAGGCGTACCAAGGAACCAGTGGGCCTTGCTTCTCTGTGCACCTGGTATCACGGTGATTCTTGTCACTCTTGGTCTCCTCAGCAGTAGGGCACTGTGTTGTCAAAGATCTGTACTCAGTCAGTTCAGCTAGTTTAATCCTGTTGCTAATCAGGCCAAGGTCAAGAGTTTGAGTCCATCCCACAGCCACTCCCAACTTTCTCAGCTGTTTTCGCATGGGTCTTATTATCCCAAGCGCAAACTGGAGGAAATGGATGGCTACCTCAAAACCTACGGCTTCTACCAGAAAATGTCCCTAAGTGCAGGCCTTCTGCCAAGGGATCAGGAGCTCTTTTCTCCTTTTTCCTTTTCACAATAAGTATACCTATGACAAGGAATAAGAACTTCTCTGAGAATAGAGATAGAGCCCAGACTGCCCACAGCGAGTATTTGTTACAGATCAGTATTTTCTAGGGTGTTCTGTAGCATAGCAGGACTGGACTCCCAATCCAGGAGAATGGCTACCGGCCCAGGAGACTCAATAAGTAATTAGGATTTCAAAGGTGCAGCTGTTTGATACTCACTATACATCCATCATCAGCAGACCTAACCTTGTCAAGATGACCAGGATGTGCTAAGCATGCACCTTCAGTGAAAGTTCATTAGTGTATTCTTCCAAACCAAAGGGTGGATTAAACCTTCCCTTGCAATAAGTGTTAACCAAAGCCCTGAGACCAAGTCCTTTTGGGCTGTTCACAACAAATGTGTCAATTTCATCATTGCCCACAGCAAAATCAGGTAATTTAAAGGAAAGTATTAATTTAAAAGGATTAGATACTAATATATCATGATTGTAAAAACACTGCCCATTTTTTTATATAAAGTCTTCTGAGCTGTGAACAAATGTGAATAAATTTTGTAAGAATAGATTTTGTAAGAAGCTAGGAAAAATGTGTGGCTATATTCTGTATTTTTTTTTTAATTTGCAAAGATAGCATAGTACTTCTGTGGTAACAGTGTTTATAAACATGCACTTGTTAATCCTAAGATATTCCATTTGAAAATGATTTCTCATTTCCTCCCATTTGTCCCCAGCTAAGAAGTCCTTATAAAATGGAATGAATGGTCCATTAACTTCCCCTTGAAATGATATTGGTTTGCAGCTTGTAATGCTAGAATATACAAATTTCTTTTTTTGAAGCAAACTTAAATTTTCTTCCGAATTGAATTTAAAATTTTTTTCTGTGACCTTACAGGCAAACATCACATTAAAACAAATTTTTTCAAATTCAGTTGTAAACAGATTCATTGCCTGACAGTCTTCCTGTGTGCATATTGGCATGAAGATCTTGCTGCCTGATAGTATATACTTCAAAGGTGTGTGTATGTCTCTCTCTTCAAAGTAAGATTCAGCCCCAAACAGTACAGAGAGTTGAATTTAGCAATTCTGTTTTCCTTCTCATTTTTGCTCAAAGAGACTTGTTTGCCACTATTAGGAAGTTTTCATCTGTGTGCTTAGCCATTAAAGGATGAGATCAGGAAAAATATAAATCTTTGGCAAACAGTGAATTGCTGAAGATGAATTAATGTATGGCTGCCTTCCTTCCTTTCCCAAGTTTTATTGTTGTTTGTTTGTACCAGGGATTGAAGATTGAACCCAGGGGCACTTAACCACTGAGCCACATTCCCAGCCCATTTTTGTTGTTGTTTTTGTTTTTGAGACAAGGTTTCTTAGGTTGAGGCTATCTTTGAACTTGTGATCCTCCTGCCTCAACCTCCCAAGCCTCTGGGATCCCCAGTTTTTAATCCTTGATTTTTTTCAAAGAAAATCTTCCAGGCGCTTGCCCCTCCTAGGGAGCACCCATCTAGCTGCCAGAACTTCAATCTCTGTGTCCTCTGCCATAGGCATACATATTCTCAAGGACATCTGCTCTAGTTGCCTGGTGCCCAAACGCAAGACCCTTCCCCATAGTCTAGGAGGAAATCAATCTGGAAGACTGTCTCTCAGATATTGAAAAGTAACACATTTCATCCAAAAGTTAGGTAAAAATGTGTTTCAGACTTTAAACAACTAGGACCCTGACATTCTAATCAAGCTCATAGGAAATAAACTTGTAGTGTCTTTCCTGCTCCATTGGTGAGCCTTACTTGGTTGACCCCAGAATCTTGTTCTTAGAAACCTTGTAAACCTGAATTTGTTATAAAATTCCTAAATTTCAGCTATGTTACTTGGTGTATTTATCACCAAATAATAGAGAGCACAATAATTTAATTCATTAGATAAAAATTTAAACTTTTAAGATGATAAAGTAGGAGACCAGAAGAAGCAATATAGGACTACTGGTAACTACAGATTCTGGTCTGTGCTGACTCTGGTAACATCATATTTTGAAAGAAGAACTTATCAGAATACAAAAGTGAGTTTTGTTAATATGCACAAAAAGCCAATACCTTATAAACTCAAATTGAAAAAGTAATGTAAAACTCTTGTTGTTTTTTTTCTTCTGATTACAAAGTCTTTTTCTTTCATATTCTAAGATAGCTGTATTTATTTGATAAAATTCTTAATATGTAAGAAAAGAAAAAATATCTTTTACATCCTATTAAATAAGGCTGTTTTGTATTTTTCTTTTGGCTTACTGGTGTCAACTTTTCTGCTTGAGAAGATAGAAGGGATAATTTTTATATTGCAAAACTATCAGTATAATCTGTTAAGTGAAGTGCAAGAAATAGACACCTGCTATTTGAAAAGAGCTTATGATTATGTCATGATCAGTGAGGAAATATGAAAAGAATCAATGCACTAAAAGATTAATACTGGGTTTGTATTACATGTATGTCATGAAATTGATAATTTTAGTTAAAGAAGAAATGTGAATCCCAAACGTCCTCTGATTTTTTCCCTTTTCTGTTATTTTAATCTAGTTTTTTCCCCCCTTAGAATATTGACATAGTGTTGAAAAAGTCTCTTTTCCAGTGTCACCTCTTTCCAATGAGGTGGTTTTACTATGACTCTAAATGTTTCTAATGTGGTTTTTTGCATTGCTTTAAGGTTTTCTTCAAACAACGGCGGATGAGTTTTGCTTTTACTATGCAAGAAAAGATGGTGGGTTGTGCTTTCCAGATTTTCCAAGAAAACAAGTCAGGGGACCAGCATCTAACTACTTGGACCAGATGGAAGAATATGACAAAGTGGAAGAGATAAGCAGGTCCATAGACAAATGTTCTTTATAATCTTAAAAAAAAAAAAAAGTGACAGCCAGGTGTGGTAGCGCACACCTATAATCCCAGTGGCTTGGGAGGCTGAGGCAGGAGGATCTCAAGTTCAAAGCCATCTTCAGCAACTTAGTGAGGCCCTAAGCAACTCAGTGAGACCCTGTCTGTAAATAAAATACAGGGCTGGGGATGTAGCTTAGTGGTTGAGTGCCCCTGAGTTAAATCCCCAGTACTGCCCCCACACAAAAGTGACAAATATTATGAGATTTTTTTCTTTCTTTCTTTTTTTTTTTTTTTTGGTCTTTGAGGTGATAGGTTTGGAGCCCAGGGCCTTGCACACACTCAGCAAGGGCTCTACCACTGAGCTACACCCCAGTCCTAAATCTTATGTCTTTGACAGTAACACAACTGTCTGTGCTTCCTATATTCAGCAGATATGTCCTCCAGATGCTATTTTCCCCCCTTTTGGGTAGTTTACTTCTCTAAAATCATAGCTTAAATACTTAAGATTATTAATCCTGTGTTATGAGCGTGGCTTCTCTATGACTCGTGAATTTTATGGGTATAGTTTTAAACTTGAATTTTATGATTGTTCACTTATAGTCCTGTGTACCTATTCAGCACAATTATGAGCAAATCGGACTTTTACATATAGATCATAGAACTTTCTCTCTGAGTGCCTTCTTATAAGATTCCATCATTCAGAGTAAAGGCTGATTTCAAGTATAGTCACTGACAGATGAGATAATGAGCTTATGAAAATTTAAAATGCATATGTGTTTGGATTCTCACTTTTACTTTCTGACAGAACTCTGTTTGATCATTTTCCATGGAAAAGATCTGAAAGAATCATATTCTGAATCTCGGGTTAGCAGCCCTTCCTGATTCTCCAAAGCACTGATTTTTTAGAGGAAATAAAGTTTGGAAAGGATGCTGAGATTACTCCTTTGGTGCTTCATCTCAAGAGAAGCTCACTGGGTTTCTTTCATTTGTTTAGAAAGCACAAACACAACTGCTTCTGCGTTCAGGAGGTTGTGAGCGGGCTGCGGCAGCCTGTGGGCGCCCTGCACAGTGGGGATGGCTCCCACCGCCTCTTCATTCTGGAAAAAGAAGGTTATGTGAAGATTCTCACCCCCGAAGGAGAAATATTCAAGGAGCCTTATTTGGACATTCACAAACTTGTTCAAAGTGGAATAAAGGTTGGCTTTTTCAATTTATTTATCTTTGCTCTGGCTATGTTGATTTTATTTTAGTGTTATCTTCGTCATTGAAGGTGATTCTTTGTAATAAAAGAAAGAAATTTGAAGGAGAAAACAACTAGGCAACATAAGGGAACAGTAATTATGACAGCTGAAGGGGTAATGGTGTGACATTTTTATGTTACTTGCTGACTGTGAAGAATGCAATCAGATTGGTATTTTGACATTCTTTGTAATTTTCCCTTTTAAAATTATTTTTGGCTTTATAAAGTGTTTGTTTAAATATTGTTTAATGGATATAACAGTATGATTATATATCAGCACTTGCTAGTTAAAACAGAGATCTTTTGGTTATTTTGGCTATTACCAATTATTGTTTTTTATTGTATGTATTTTTGAGTCTGTCATCAAAATGCTTTTTATACTGTCACTTCCTTGGGCAATGGTTTTACAGGTAAGTCAAATATTTTTATCTATAATTAGACACCTATATGATATATCAGTGCGACTACTTCTTTCTCACTTCTGTACTTTGAATTCTCATGTTAAATAATCTGAATATATGAATAAAACTTGGTCAGGTTTGTTTCCCATGAGTAACACAGTACAATATTAGCAGTAGGAAACTATAAAGCAAATTATGGCATTCCAAAATGAAGACACACTAACAGCTCATGATGAGTTTAGAATGAAACATAATAACAGTATGTTTTTAGGAGAACTTATTATCTTTTCCATTTCTTTCATTCTTTTTTTTTTTCTGGTACGGAGATTGAGCTCAGGGACACTCAACCACTGAGCCACATCCCCAGCCCTATTTTGTATATTATTCAGAGACAGGATCTCACTGAGATCCTTAGTGCTTCGCAGTTGCTGAGGCTGGCTTTGAACTCACACAGTCCTCCTGCCTCAGCCTCCTGAGGCGCTGTGATTACAGGTGTGTGCCACCATGCACTTCTTAACTGAAAAAAAAAAAAACAAACAAAAACACCAAAGGAGGATGGCTTTTTTTTTCTATTTATATAAAATAGATTCCTTCTTGCTCTGTTATTCTCTACTCAAATATACCACCATCAAAACCAGAAGAGACAAGTTAGAAAAAAAGTATGATATATCCCTGAAATGTATTCAATACCTACCACATTAAAAAAAAAAGTCAACTAGAATACAGGCAATAATGCCATATAATTGGGACCACCCAATCTCAAGCTCATGGTGTGAGGGTACCACCAAGCATGCTGCATAGAAAATATGCCTTTTATGGAAAAGGACTTGGGTATCAACACACACAGATCATTTGGAAAATCTTTTTAATTCAATGGTTTCAACTTACACCCAATACAATTTTCATTGCAATTCACAGCAGATAATCAAAATGAAGCATTAGTATTTTGCACATTGGGGTTTGTAAAATCCCTTTTGAAATGTGTCTTGATAACTCACTGCCGGTGGTTCTAATGGGTGAAAATTCAGACGCCTCAACATGGGCCTTACTCACTAGCTGTACGTTGTTTCTCCCTATGGAAATGAATGTGCTCTCTGTAAAAGAAAAATGGGGAAAATATTTTTTAAAACATTTTCCATAATCATGTCGATTAAAGAAAACCACTATTAACATTTGATAGACTTTCTTCTGATTTTAAATTAAAGGAATTCTTTTCTTTCTACAAAGATAATTGAGGTCCATGTTAGTAAATGTAAAAACAGACAAGGAATGTGCTTTTAGGGATGTTTTGTTTTATTGGGTTTTTTTATTTGTTTTTGGTTTTGTTTTACCTTTTTTTCCTAGGCAACTTTCAAATAAAATTAAAATGAAATCCCACGTATGAACATATACACCTTTGTGCATATGTGTATATCTTTTTTTATGGAAAGTATTTATTTTTTATTTATATATGATAGCAGAATGCATTATAATTCTTATTACATGTGTAGAGCACAATTTTTCATATCTCTGGTTGTATACATAGTATATTCACACCAATTAGTGTCTTCATACATGAACTTTGGATAATAATGATCACATTCACCATCATTAATTAAGAGCCTATATCTTGGGAGCAAATCTTCACCCCTCACACATCAGATAGAGCACTAATCACTAGAGTACATAAAGAATTCAAAAAGCTAAAAGCCAAAAAAACAAATAACCCAATCAATAAACGGGCCAAGGACCTGGAGAGATACTTCTCAGAAGATGATGTACAATCTGTCAACAAATACATGAAAAAATGTTCATCATCATTAGCAATTAGAGAAATGCTAATCAAAACCGCTCTAAGATTTCATCTCACTCCAGTCAGAATGGCAGCTATTATGCATACAAACAACAAAGTCTTGGCTAGGAAGCAGGAAAAAGGTACACTCATACACTGTATATATCCTTTTAACCACTCTTTTATTTAACAATATGTCTTGAGATCTTTCCCAGGTTGAAAACTTTTCTTAAAAACTTATTTTTTAAAACCTTTTAGAGACATTTAGAATGACTCCAGTATTTTTTTTTACTTTTGTAAATACCATTATCACTCTCATACCTATTATTTAACCTGATTGATGAATGACTCTCTTAATGTGTGTTTATAGAAAGATGATTACTGAGTTGAAAGATACATACCATAATACACCTGCTAATTTGCTTTAAAATATATTTTCCAGTATTTGGGAGACTAATGTATAGTTTTCAAATACTAATTGATTAAAAATATTGGTCTTAGATATCTATGATAAAATGGAGATGTAAAAAGGGCTCAGAATCCTGGAAAATGTTGTTTAAGGAGTAATAAAACTAATATTCTTATTTATACTTCAGTTTAACTACCTGAGCTGCCTTTTATATTAGGGTTACTTTGGAGTCCCTCTATTTCAATTTACACCCATTCATTAGGATACTGAATGAAAGATTCACTGGGATATTCTGTTCTGATGTGGAAACATTTCATCATGCAATAAAACTGTAGAAGCCAGATCGTAACAGTGCCACGGCTCTGCAGTATGTTTGCATTGGGGGCCCCTGGGAATTCTGCAGAACTTGGCCAAACCTTGGAAAGAAATATTATAGACTTTGGCATCCCCTTTGCCAGAAGAGCTCCAGGCTTCTGGGGCTTAACATAAACTTTAAAATCCGTTATTCTATAGAACTGATATGTCATATTTTTAAAGCACAATATTTTAAATTCTCGCTGTTTGGCACAAATGTGATCAGTAAGAATTTGTTGTGCAGACGTTTGAGTGTGTATAGTGAATCACAGGCCACATGCTGATAAAGCAGGTCATGCTGAATGTGTCCTTTATCTTGCTCTTTGAGGAATTCTAGATTGGAAGAGTTAAGTGTGCAGTGTGAAGGGGCAGATGCCAATACACTCATGAGTTGATCAGAGGTTGATGCCACTACTGATTTTGATCTTATACCTTGTGGAGGCTTGTTAGTGAAAACAATTTCTTGACTATTTCACAGTGATATTTCAGGCTTCTTTGATATATGAATAGTTAACATGTTCATGGAAGTATTTTGTGTTTTTTCAACAATTATTTTACATAGATAATGCAAAGAAGTTTCATACTTCTTCTCTAATCTTTTAGTTTTAAAATCCAAAGAGAGTACATTAAGCTATTTCATAAGCCAAATTATTGATTGCAATATTCAGATCACAGAATCAATGATACGTCCTAAGCCTGTTCTGCATATTTTGAAATGAAAATATACAAACCACAGTGAATATCCCCCCAAGAGTGATATTAATTAATGATCAGTAGGAGTAAATTAAATCAGACTTAAAGAGGAATTCTTAATTGTAAGAGTTTCTGAACACTGGTACTGGCTATGATGGAATGCTTTGTCAATTAATTGTTGATTAAGAATGGACAGCACGGAGCTGGGGTTGTGGCTCAGTGGTGGAGCGCTTGCCTGGCATGTGTAAGGCACTGGGTTTGATCCTCAGCACTATATATAAATAAATAAAATAAAGGGATTATGTCCACCTACAACTAAAAATATTTAAAAAAAACAAAGAGGAAGAAGAATGGACAGCGCCAGGTGCAGTGGTACAGGCCTTTATTCCAACACCTTGGGAAGCTGAGGCAGGAGGATTGCAAGTTCGAAGACCAGCCTGGCCAACCTGTCAAGACCCCGTCTTAAAAATTTGTTTAAAATGAGGGTGTGGCTGGGGATGTAACTCAGTGGTAGAGTGCCCCAAGTTGAATCCCCAATACGACAAACACACACACACACACACAACATACATAAAATGCCTCAACAGCAATTTCTGTCATATGGAATAGGTAGATCATTTTTGTAGCAAGGAGCTAAACTTGGTTGATCTTAAACTTCTCCAGCCCCAGTTCTTAAAACTGCTTGAGAGGATTGCCATCTGCAAAGAGCTGATCACTAAAGAGCTTGGACAACTCTTCCTGCATGGGTCCTAACTGAAGTTAAAAATATATAATGCTTTATTCAATAGCAAGACTGTGCCGCCTAAAATAGAGGTGACTGTAGTTTCCTGGGGCCTTACCTGCCTGTAGCTCACATGGCAAAAGTTAGCCGCAAACCTGCAAAGTTCAAACTAAATATCTGACTCCTTTTTTTTTTTTTTGGTTCTTTTTAGTTCAACATGACAGTAGAATTCATTTTGATATAATTATACAAGCATGGAATATATCTTATTCTAATTAGGACCCCATTCTTGTGGATGTTCACGATGGTGGGATTCACTGTGGTGTATTCATATATGTACACACAAAAATTAACTCAGATTCATTTCACTGTGTCTGACTCAAGAGTAAGTCAGAATGTGTTTTAGAAACATGTAGTGATTCGATAGATTTTTGATGGCAGTGCACTGAACAAACTAATTGCTAATACTGACACCTAAGAATGGCCCAAGTATCAGACTAGTAAGTGAACACTATAGTCTTCATTTGTGTGTGTGTGTGTGTGATGCTTTAATCCCAAAGGAGGAAAATTCAAAAGTTGTTCTATTTCTTGGAGAAAAATCTATGAT